TATTCGAAAGAGCGGGAACGAAATGGAGTTTTTCCAATTGCGGGGTCCATCGGTGACATATTACATACCCGTTGTGCGTGTGATGCAATTATTCGAAGAACGTGCTCTCATTTAATTTCATGGTATTCCAACTATGTTGATTTACCGGATGGACTGTTGCGTATTGAAAATTTAATTAGGATCACATTGCTTGGTCCCGTGTTGTGCTTTCGATAATAATGCATGCGTGGGTTAATTAATTTGCAGTCGTGGATGCACGACTGTTTAGCATCACGTGTGTAACGAGTCGCCGCTTTTCCCGTTCTGTCCATTCTCTTTTGTTCCCGCCAATTTATCGAATCACCGTGACCTGCAATGCATTTTGTTACGTGTTACGCGAATCTCGGAAAACGTATGCGAGGTTATTATGATCGAAAACGTTAAAAGTTATAGTATACGTTAAAAGTTTCTTTTGGATAACTTCCTTATGAGGTAAATATAATATTTATGAAATGAATGAATATTTTATCGTCGAAAGAATATTTATATTCGAGTATTATTTCTCAACTATTCGTTTTCGTTAAAGGAATTAAATTATTGTGCATTTTTAAAGATTTTCTATACCACTTTTTTAACTTAACACGGATAGATAAATAGATATTTAATTTTTTTATCCGCGTTAATATCGTAATTCTAATCGTATTTTTCCTCGTTCCAGAAAACCCACGAAAGTCACACGTTGATGTATCTATAAAAATTTCAAAATTTTATTTATATAAAGCCATGCAATATTATTAATTACATTTCTCTTTAAAAAGTCAGGAAATTATTAACCCTTTGCTCTCCAATGGTGACTCTCCAGCACCAATGGGATTGTTGTGATAACTTGAACGGCGATGATATTTATTTATGTTTGATTTTTTTGGAATATCGCTTCATAAATAGGCTAAACTCTTTACGTATAATCTTATGAGATGTAATCTTATCTTATGATAATCTTATGAGGCCACCAAACGCACTGAACACGTGGATTTGAATCTGGAATTGCTAGTTCGACCGAGCGAAACAAGCCTGAAGTGCAAAGGATTAATATAAAATCGGTATTTTAACGAGATTATTCATTGCAAGAAATTAAATTTATATTGTAATTTAAATTAGAATGGATCAAATTTTCAAAAGATTTCACAAAGTTACGAATTTCACTTTACCTTACATCGTGTCATTAACATTGCATATACCAAAATAAGATGCTTTTTGTTTCCCCGCCGAATGTGCTCAATCGATGATTCACCCGCTCTAATCCTCTGATTCTACAATTCGCATCCATATACACGCACACACCGCTTCCTTCTTCGCGACGATATTCAACAAGAAATTTCCGTTACACTCTGTCATCGATTACCAATTCCCCTTTACGATTTACGAGATAATAATGGACTATCGATGGCACTATTCGAAAAACTGCTGCCCGACATCGGATAAAAGTCTTCTGCGCGCTGCGAAAGAGGATGCGGGATGGAAAGGGGTGGATTATCCGCGGGAAGGGTCGTGAGACAAAGTCCTGTTGAGATAGGAAGCTACGACCGCGAACGAGGGCTAATAACCTAGGAAGTTAATTACGGCCATAAACTGCGAGGGGGGTTGTTTGACTATCCCTTCGCAGCAAGGGTGGCTGACATAACGTGGCCTCGTTACAACGTCGCAACGCAAATCCCTATGTTCCCTTCTCGTTGCCCTTTCGAAGCGATCGTACATGAAAAGCACTTTCTCCTCGCGAATCTATGGAAATCAAGTTAAAATCTCGATTCGAATTCGTGATCATCTCGAGCATTCAAACTTTTTTCTCGTATTATCGATTAAATTCTTTTCCATTTTTTGTGATTATTCTTTTTTTTTCTCCCTGCCTCTTTCACGGAATTAATTGCGAAGGGGGAGAAAATCATTACGGAGTTTCGGGTTTCTTTTCTTTATTTTTCGTACTCTTTCTCCACTTTTTTTTCTCTTTTCATTTAGAAATTAATTGCTAAAGCTTTTTTGTACGTGTTGTTTCAGTTGAACGCCTCAAATTTGTTGTCGTACAGTTGTCTCACACGATCGATTTTCACACTTCTCTTTTCACAGAATTAATTATTGGAGAATGGGTGTTAGAGCTCAGGAGAAGGGATCAAAGTGACTCAAAATCACTGTAATTATCTCACATGCGCAAACTTTTTCTTCGAGTACCACTTTCCACGATTATTGCTCTTCTCTTTCCCTTTTCTTCTTCCTTTCGTGGAATTAATTACCAAAGGGATCGATTTTTCTTAAATTTAATTTAAAAAAAGTTTAGATTTTCTACAATTATTATTATTATTAATCTCGTTTGTTTTTCCACGAAACTAATTGCCGCAGGGAAAGGGAGAGGATCGTTGTAAACGTTTCGCGTACAGCGGTTTCGTTGTTTCACAGCGGTGAAAAATGAAAAACGAGTCCGATTAAAGCACAGGTTTAAGAAAAAGAGAAGCATGGAGGAGGGCCATGTTGGAACGTGGCGGTGGAAAGACTGATAACTACCTGGGAAGAACGAATGTTTACTAGTATGAATAATTCATTGTTTCGGTGAAATTGTACCCGGAATGGACAATGAACGGATGCAGTTCGCAATAAGCCGGGAGGAAAATTGCGCGCGGAAATAATGCCCCTGCGAAACTTTGTCCCCTTGTTGCGTTTTATACGCGAGCAACGCGTTTACACCCCTCCGCGAGGATCTAAGTAAATTTCGATCTTATAAATCGCGCGATATCGTGTTTTTCGTGCATATACACTCACACGTTTCCTATTTTTAATTAGTGCTCTACGGAAGAACGGGGAGAACGTTGAAAAAGGGGAGGAGGGTTGGAACGCACTCTCAGACTCGTAATCTCACGGATTAATTAACCTTAAGCTCAAAACGTTTAATTAAGTTAAGAAAATTTACCCGAAATGCGAATATTTCTCGTCCCTTTCCTTTTTTGGGGGAGAATCTAGGGGAAAAAATCTAGGGATCTCTAATTTATAGAACGAAAAAGGGAGAGAGAGAGAGAAATGATTTTTGTGACAAAAGTCGGATATTGAGACGTGGTTCCGGAATCGACGTGGACCATGTTCTATTTCAATAGTGTATCGTTGCTCGTGTTCCACCAAAACAATGCGTGTCAGAGAACATTTTTTTGCGAGCGATCCGAAAAACGTTTTCCTTTGTCCGGTGCGCGCGAGCCGGATTGATCGGGAGTAAAAAAAAAAAAAAAAAAAAAAAAAAAAAAAAAAAAAAA